CCCCTCCCCTGCACCTGCCGAGCTGAAAGAATGTAGCTTTTATCTGGAGACTGAGCTTTTTAGGGGGGTCTGTAATGTTTGGTGAAGTGACTGCGACAGGTCGTACTTTTGACCCCCTTCCTGTAAGGGCTGCAGGGAATTACAAGTTGGCTGAAGAATCACAGCTGAAAAAAAAACAGTTCAAGAAGCTGAGAACGATATCCAGGAGAAGATTGGGCATTAGTGTCACGTCCAGGATGGAGGAGGGAGTGGCCACATCCAAGCAGGGTTCAGATGAATTCACTTTTAATCCAATCAAAATGATACAACAACCTGCTTTCCATTTACCAATTACGCAATTTATTCACCATTAGCTCCAGAAGGACATTTTGAATCCCACTCATCGTTTGTCTTCCTCAAATACTTGATGCTGTGTGGGAAAAAAAACACAAAACTTTTTCGCATTAGTCTTTATTAAGAGTCTCCTGAGACGTCTCGTTAGCGGTGTCAGCATTCATCATCCAAGCTGGGAGGCCTATTTTTCGACAATGTGACAGCTCGTTCAGATTTAAAATGGTTTTCTGTTAACAGGTTGCTTATGATGGCCTGACTGGGTTTTGGAGGCGTAGTGTGAGTTGAGAACCACGCATGAAGGCCTGGGGATACATGGGACGGAATTTTTCCCAAATTATTCAGGCATTTACCACATATAACCTAAGAAACAAAGGGTCTTTTAGACCAGGGGTCTGCAACATTTACTATCACTAATGGCTCACTAATAAAATGTGTCCTGAGCTGTAAAATGTTCTAAAACTGTGATCATCAACTGGTGGTCCGTGGGCCACTTTGAGTTTGTTGAAAAGGGCCTTTCCAGCCAGTGGAGGTGACATTATAAAATTTAAAGTATATATTGAATTTTATCATTTATTAATATTTTTACTCTTTCGAACAAAAGATAACACATTGGGCCTCATGCAAGAATACGTTCGTATTCTTATCCTAAATTTCTCTTACTTTTGTTCGTACAAAGGGTTCGTACGAACATGTCACATCAGATTCAACAAACTCTTCTATCTTC